CCCACGCCAGTTCCAGCCCTCTGTGTATCACCCTGAGCCCTTCAAGGATGGATCCAGGCTCCCTGGAGAGCCCCACCGTCTAGTTGTCTGGTCCATGGACCAGAGACCCCTCAAAGACACAGACTCATCAGACCCTATAATAGGGGCTTCAAGGGTTCCCACAAATACTGCTGAAATCGCACCATTTCAAAGCATCAAGGGTGAACAAGGCTCAGAGAGTAAAGGCCCTCGTCACAAAAGCCTAATGGCCTGAGTTCCGTCCTGGAATCCACATAAAGGTGGGAAGAGAGAACTGGCACCCTCCACACACATGCTGTGACCTGCATGTCCCCATAGACTTCATGCACACACACAATAATAAATTTTTAAAACTGAAAATTGCAGCATCGAGTCCAGATGTTGTGGATACCATATTTGGTATCATTTATCTGGCCCAACATCAAGCCCAGGTCAGCACTGGGGTGCACCTATGGTGTGAACTGAGGGAGCCGTTCTATATGTGTTGATGAATGCTCTCTCCTGGGACAGCCCCAGCCCTGGGGAGTCCCGTGACGTGGCCGGTTTCCAGCCAGTGAGGTGAGCTTACTCACCTGGAGCCATTTGAGATGCTCCCAGCTTGCTGGAATGAGCTGGGTCCATCCAGCCCCAACTTACCTCCGTAGGCTGCTTCCCTACCTAGTCTTCAGAAGCCACGTGGATGACAGATCTCTGCCACTGTCCCCACTATGTGCCTCACCCACCCTGCCCCTCCACGTGCACTTAGATCCCTCGGTAAAAATAACAGCTGTGGTACCTGTCCTGGGAGAGACGGAGAATATCCTGGGCTGGTGTTCCAGAGTGTTAGTGGAGCTTCTAATGAAGCCTCCTAAAAACCTGAAATCCAAAGGTGTCAAGCTTCACAGTCCTAAACTAGAGTCTGTTAGAGGCAGGTGACCCCTGAGGCCACCTTCTGGGCGAGAACTCTGACCGTTTCACAGAGCTAAGCCAATGGGCGACTGTGTCTACACAGACATCTCTTTTCATACACCTAACTCTGTTCTTTCCTCATGGGCACCTCTTTGTCACCATTTCCCTGTGTGACATGTGGAACTCTGACCCTAGAGAGTCAGTGCAGCCAGGCAGACACGGCGCCTGTTCCCCCGAGAGCATGTCCCATCCTGCAGGGTAGGAGATAGACAGTGGCCTGAGATGACAAACATCTGGATTCGGGCTCCCAGACTGAGGAGAATATGGGTCAAGGGATGGTGAGTGCTGATCCGGGGACCCCGATTTGCAAAGGCTCCCTGAGAGTGCAGTACTGAGAACATGAGAGCACCCCAAGGGTCTGATGGACACCCCAAGGGTCTGATGGAAGAACATGCCCACAGGAGGAAGAGCCAGGGGGAGTGACCTGAGCCAGGAGCTAGGCGGGCATGGAGCAGCAGGGACATTTGTGTCTACACAAAACAAGCCCTGTGGGCAGGAATTCAGGGTGCTGGGAGGACTTGGGGTTTCACTCCACAGGGAACAGACTAGAGGGGCTGGAGCAGAAGCCGGAAGTCTGGAGGGACAAGGCAGAGTGGAAGCCTGACTTGGTCGAAGTGGTTGGATTCTGAGTTCCTGAAGGCAGAGTTAGAGTTGCTGAGGGACTATGGATTGTAATAGAGCTGCCACTGTGTCCTGAATCCTGAATGCTGAGCTCTCGAGCCAGGGGAGAGGGATGTGTGTCCCAGAATGGGAAGACTTTTGGAGCAGCAGGTCCAATGTGGCATCACAGGGAAACCAAATTGTAAGCCGTGTGAGGCGCTGACATTCTGGTAAGACCTTGGACGTATGCACGTGATCTCGTCTAATCCACACACATGGTAGACGCTTGCTTCCACACTTCACAGCTGAGCAGATGGAGGTAGAGATGACAGGCCACTGCCCTCCATGGAGAACTACACACTGTCCCAGGAGGACTCTGGAGGAGAGGGCAATGACAGAGTTCAGATCCCAGGAGATGTAGCTTGAATGTAGCACGAGTTCTAATAATAAAAACCCGGAGTCAGATATTAGGGGGTGAAAGCCGAGAGATCAGAGATGCAGAGCAGCCAGCCACTAGGGAGTTCTTACCTCTACCAGTGCTCAGACCGAGGGAGCTGTCCTGTCTCTACAAATTCGCAGACCACTGCTGTCTCTGCGAAACCTCAGACTGCATCTGAGCTCCCGTCTCCTCCCGCCTTTTATTCCTCTCTCCACCGAGCCATATCACTCCCGTGTCCACCTCCCTAGTGCTGGGATTAAAGCCATGTGACCCCAAGTGCTGGGATCACCTTTGTGTGAGCTCTGTTTCTCTTTTAGACAGATTCAATCTCGTGTAGCCCAGGGTGGCTTTGAATTCACAGAGATCCATCTGCCTCTGTCTCCTGAGTGCTGGGATTAAAGGTGTGTGCCACCATCGCCTGGCCTCTATGGCTAACTAGGGGCATAGCTCTGCACTCTGATCTTCAAGCAAGCTTTATTTGTTAGATTACAAACAAAATATCACTCCATACAGTGATGACTGCTTGAACTCCTAAGCCACCAGGTGGCTCAGGTCACCTCTGAGCATAAAGTCTCACCATCTACAGGTGGTCACCGTGGTACCCTGAACCAGGGGGTGCAAAATAAAGGGGTGTAACTGGGTGATATCTCCCTGTTGTATATTTCTCCCTCCTCGTGCTGAAGATGGCTGGGGTCCCAAGTGACCCTCAGACCCGGCTACAGACTCATCACTCAAGGGCTTTAAGACGATGCCAGGGCACCACCCCAGGCAACTGAAGTGAAAGCCACCCAGGAGGAGTGGTGAAGCCATATCAGTTAGTGAAGGTTCTCATCAAATATTTACAGGGGAATTGATTTCCCTGGCGTCTGCCAGGCCGCTGACAGGCCCCTCCCTTCCTCCCCCTCACCTTCCACACCCGGTGGCCTCCTATCCTATCCCGCCATGCCCCGTTGGCCATCCCGGGTGCTAGATGCTCTCCACCCCTGCATGGCATTCCCATCTCTGCCCAGCCCTCCAACACCCCCTTCCACAAGCCACTTTACCCATTTTGAATGCCAGCATGTCTGGTAACAGTGGGAAGTATGACTTCTAGACCTAGCTCTATGGAGCAGCCAGTTGGGAATCTCGGGCAAGGGGGTTTGCTGTGCTCAGGTGTCAGAGGAAAGTGGGGGGAGAGGCAACGTGAGGCATACCCCTCTCCTCAGAGCTTACACGCTGTCCCAGTTTTGAGCTTCTGCATAGACAGGGAAGAGACCAAGCAGCTTCACTGGGGGGGAGGGAGGTGGGGGGAAGGACAGAGTAGAGAAGGAGGGAAGAAAGAGAACTTGGGTACCGGAGACTATCGACTTGGTGAATCTGGTCCAGGGTGGCTGGCTCTGGGTGCTTTAGGAAGCAGGGCAAGGCTAACACTCATGGTTAGTGACCAGACAGACAGGGTTGGTGCCAGGCCAGGTAGACCCTTCACACTTGCTGTGGCCTTGTGGTGGCCAGGACCCTTGAGCACCGTCGCAATGGATCCAGCCTCTAGACAACTGTGGCCTTCAGCAAACCTGGTGAAACAGGCCTGTTCTTGCTTCCCAGGGTAACCCAGGCCCAACTTGGGCCAGGTGCACCCCAGATGCAAAGAAAACAACTACTGAGAGAATAAGCGGAAGCCTGGTGATGTGTCTGGGCAAGGCCAAGGCCGAGTGTAGACTCTGGTGGGAGAGGCTATGGGGAACAGAGGGTACTGGAGAGGGTCCCACAGGCTGACACTTGCCTGCTACCCCAAGTCTGAGGTGGACACAGCCACAATGAGAGGCCAGTCATGCAGCTGGCAAAGAGGTTGGGCAGACACAAAGGAAAATGGGAAAGAGACCCCACCCCCTCCACCTTGTGCCCACACTTAAGTAGGTTCTCACTAAATGAAGTATCTCATACTTTGGGCCATAGGGGAGTCCATGTTGGGCGGGCATGCGTGGAAGGAGACACCCCTGTCTGTCTCCCTTCCTCACCTTATCAGAGACACTCAGCACTGACATGATTTCTCGCTGATGACCCCTTGGGGGTCTGCTCCTATGGGAGACATTGCCTGCCCAGAGGGGACGACACAGGGACTATGTCTCGCAGCAGTGAATCAGTCTCTTCCCTCTCCGGCTTCTCCTGCACTGGCTCTGCAGGACAGAAGCCTCGGCTGAAGGAAGGGCCCCTCGCTGCGCTGCTTGTCTGCCTACACTGACTTTTCCTCACCAGTGCCTAAGAGGCATGGGGTGGAGCCCAGACCTGCATCCCCAGCCACCAGGCTCCCTGGTGATGCTGACACCGGGAACCCAGGCACCAGCTTTGAGAGTCACTGCAGAGGCCTTGCTGGGGGTTGGGGTCAGCATCGAAGGGGTGCACATCACTTCTCTGGGCTACAGACTTTCAAGGGGGCAGGAAAGAATCTTGACAAGATCTTGGAGATCTGGCTATCGCGGTCACCCTGTCGCGATGTGTTCTGCTCCTGTTCAATCAAGGTGAACTATGCAGCCACCCCTTCTAGTGGGAAACCACAGCATGGAGCCCCAAGAGGGAAGAGGCTTGGTAGCAAGAGAACAGGGTGCTGCTTGAATGCCTGGATACCCGTATCCAGGGAATGCTGGTTTTCAGTGGCCACTATTATTAGGGGACGCCAGGTGGAGGACGTGAAGTTAAATCCATGTTGGCTCCTGTAGCGACACGTGAGTCCGCAGTGGTCTTGATAGAAGATGACTGGTTTTGAAATCTAGGTGGCAGAACAGAATTCTGAAGTTACGTGGTCACATCCAACAAGTATAAGCCAGGAGTGCCTTCTGCCGGTACCTCTATCCTGGCACCTCCCGCAGCTCAGCTAGGGGAGCTCCATCCTGAGGACCTGGGAGATGGCACGGGAAGTAGTGTGTGGAAATCACGAGCCTAAATTGAAAGCAACGCACACACACACCCCTCACTGGCTTCCAAAGGTCCTAACCACGGCTTTGCTCTTCTCTTCCTACAGGGCAATCAGGACGCCACGGCTCCGCCTGAAGCGATGGCCCAGCCCTACCCCTCTGCCCAGTACCCCCCTCCGCCTCAGAATGGAATCCCAGCTGAATACGCCCCGCCTCCACCACACCCCACACAGGACTACTCCGGCCAGACCCCAGTCCCCCCAGAGCACGGCATGACCCTCTACACACCAGCACAGACGCACCCTGAGCAGCCGGGCACAGAGGCCAGTACACAGCCCATTGCTGGGACCCAGACAGTGCCGGTAAGAGACCCTACCAACAATGGTCAGCCCCGGACTGTGGGGCAGAGTGTCCCCAGTACATGCTGGCTGGGCAGAACTTTCTAGAAAGGACCTCTAGATACATAAGGAGGGCCAGACTTCAATGTTGAGCATCTGCCCCAGAGATCTTCACCCCAGAGAGCCTGCTTCCAGTCCCAGACTTCAGGTACTTCATATCCAACACCAGGGTTCCCTGCAGTGAGCAAGTGCCACCAAGGGGCCATAGAATGGGGTAGTGACCTCACTCACCCCAAGCTGTCTCGGGCTTCAGGCAAACTCTCACCTCATCTGGGAGGTGGGGAGGGTGGTGGAGGCTACAGAGGTCCTGTTAAAGGGAAGTTAGAGCCAGAGGATTGGGCTGCCTAGGGTCTCGGGAGAAAGCCAGGGTGGGCAGTGAACGGTGGGCAGCTGCGGAGCTGTCTCCGGTTGCAGGCCCCCCTGTCTTTTCTAATCACTTGTAATCTACCTGCTTGGCTGCCCTCCAATCAGATAGCTTCAATTACGCGGTTGTAATGCAGCTCGGAGGCGAAAGTGCTGAGCGCGGCACTTCTCAGATTTCCTCATGGAGAAAGGAGTGGGAAAATAGAGCCGCCTGGGTGGGCTGTGTCCCACAGCCCCCTCCCAGGCTCTGTCCTGGAGCCCCCTCCCAGGCCCTGGCCGCTGCTACAGCTGCTCAGGCTCTCTGGCTCTTCCCATTACGTTCGCTGTGGGCCTTCCCCTCCTTGTTCTGGGGCTTTGGGTTCATCCACCCTTCCCTGCTGGCTCCATCCCAGCAGCTGACTGCTGGCTGGCAGGGCCTGGGCAGGAGGCCAGCTCGCTCTGCTCTCCCCAGGCAGAGTGGCACCACCCTGGCGTCTCCCCAGGGGTCCTCCAGCTGTGCTCCCTTAACCTTATCCCCACATCCAGCCTGCCTCCACAGATGTGGTACAGACGCAAATACTGCCCTCTGTGCATGGGCAGGGGCCTCCTCCACCATCCTCCCCGCCACCCCCAACCCTCTGCGGAGAGTCTGCCCACTGTAGCTGGGCTAGCCCGGACCTTATTCCATGCCCAGCCAATGGTCTTCCTACGCCGGCACTGCCTGCCTGAGCCTGCTCTGAATCCGGCAGAAGCCCCACTCCACTGCATCTGATCCCCCCTCTCCCAGCCACCAGGATTCTTCCAGCAGTGGACCACAGACTGAAAAAGACAAACCCCTGGATTAGAGAGTTGGAGGTCTAGCTCCAAGTCGTGAAGTCCACATATACCCCCTTCATGCTCAGGATAGACAGGGGATCCCAAAGTTAAAGCGGTTCACCATGGATGAGCACAGCCATGTGGTCCAGCTCTTCTCTGCTAGACTTTAGCAGACAATCCCCTCTGACAAACCACTTATAAATAAATGGGGGGGGGTCCTCTCGTGAGCCGTGGGCCTTCAGCTGGTTAGAAGCAGGCCATTGTCGCACATGACATAAGGAGGGCACAGATAACTTTATAATGCAACAGCAGAAACCAGCACTGAGGCCTCTGGACACCTTGCGGCTACCAGACCGACACAACTACCAGGATCTGAGTCAACTGCTCTGCCCTGCATAACACAGGCCGAGTGCCAGGCTTCGAGGCAGTTCTGTGGTGCAGAGAGGGTGTGACCAGCCCTGTCCTTTGGGTTCCTCTAGTCAAAGGCAGAGATGTCAGGACGCTGGGAGCTGGGGCAAGGACTGGCTGCCAGGGAGCACCGGGAGCAAGCTGAATTTTGAGGCTTGGCACCCAAGGGACATGCCTGTACCAGAGAATATCAGATCCCCGTGGAACATGCCCTCTAGACCGTCCTGATCTCGGTCTCAGCGTTCAGGTCCTATAAAGGTATCAGGGTCAAGGTATCAGATCTTCTAAATATGTCTGTTTCACCATGAGGGCAGATCTGTCGATCTGACCTGGGAAGGTAGAAGGTGCTTGACTAGCAAGAGGACATTGAAGACAATGAGGAATGCCCCTCTCTCCAAAAAACCACAGGTGCCTGGGGGCCTTGCTCTCTGACTGAGGAGCACTTACTCACCTTATGAGGGAACTCAGTGAGGACAGGTGTGCTTTGTTCTAAGAATCCAGAAGCTGCTCAGCCCTTCCCTCAGAGGGCTGACCAGTGGCGAAGCCAGCATCTGCTGGCTAGGTCCGGTGTCACCAACCTATCACATGGACATTCGGAGAACTCTGTCCACCCACTCCAGCCTTTCCCTCAGCAGCCTGAGACTGGGGTTCTCAGGATGGCAGGCAAGTTGCCCTCAGAGCTTGAGTCTAGAAGCTTCTCCCACCCAGCTCAGGACCTCCCTTGAGTTCCCAGGACATGAACACCAAGTGCCCTGGTGCCTCCTCCACCCCCGCTCTCAGGATGTGCATACACCATCATCCCATGCACCTCATGGACACAGACACACACACACACACCAAAGGGGCTCCTCTCCCCACCCCAAGAGATTTCCTTCTGCTGATGAGGAGCGTTGGTCCACAGTCTCGCCTCACTGGTAGTGACCACTAAGTCAGCTCTAAAAGACTGACCCTGCCCCACGCCAAAGGTGAACCAGGAGGGAGCAGGTGGTCCAGCAGTTGGTACAGCTGTGTGGCCTGAACCTGATATATCCAGCAGTCTTAGGAGCATTCCCAGCTCAGAATTGGAGACTCCTATTCCTGCCAGTTCGGGACTCTTCCCGACAACCCACTGCCCATACAAGATGCCCAAAGACCCTGAGTAGCGAAGGGATAGCTGACCCTGAGGGACCCAGCCCATCAGCTATCTGTTACTCTCAACAACTTTGGCCACCAGGGTCCTCAGAAATCCTTAGGCCCGTTTCAACAGTTTTCTCTTTAACCCCAGTGACTTTTACCCATGCTCATTCCTGAGACAGCTGCTCATTGCCACACAGGAGACCTCTCTGTGGGTCCCATCATCTGGAGATCCCTTCTGATAGGGCCATCTCCACCAGTGATCCCGGCAAGAAGGCTAGAGAGCCCAAAGCTCCTATAGGTGGATCAGAGCCCACATCTCTCACCATCCAGGGCCACCTGCTGAAGGCAACACAAAGTGTTCCAGTGAGCTCTACAGCATACAAAAGGTTCAGCTCACAGGAAGAGGAAACCCCTCCTCAAGTCCTCATTCATTCACTCGAGGTCACGTGAGTGCCAGGGCTGAGAGGGCTCACACCCAGTCCTTACACTCAACAGAAGCTCTTGGAAAGACTGGTGGACACCTGGAAAATACCGGAACAGTGCTGGCTGTAGCTGTTGCTGGCTGTGGGGGCATAATGTGGCTTTTTTCCGTCAGGAGGTGAAGCCTTGGGTCCCTGGCTCCTGGGCTGCCCAACGGCAGAGCAAAGGAGGCACATGGGATGAGGAGGAAGGAAAGAAGGTTGAGAGGTACGAGCCCCTGAACCAGGCCCAAGTGGCACAGCTCAGCAGCCTAACGGGGGACCAGTCACTGCGGTTAGTCAGCTGCTGACGCCGCATGCAGATGTGCAGCCGGCCAGCAGAGGTGTGGTGTGTCACTCAACATCCAAGCCGAAGCACAGAGTCTGGGGTTCTGAAGAACACTCAAGAGAGGAAAGACACCTCCGGGCCACATGCGCAGAACCCCTCCTCCCAAGCCTGTTGACTGTCCACTGGAGTGGCTGGGTCATTGTTCGGATCCTCCGAGGGAGCAAAAAGGACGGAGAGTGGCTACGGAGTGGAATTCTAACGGCTAGTTTAGTTTATGCCGCATCAGCCAAGCTTGGCTCCGGACCAGTGATGGGGTGGCCAGGTCCTTCGGCTGCCCAAGGCCCTCGTAGTCCCCTCTGCTTGTCCTTCCCAGGCAACTTCTCATCGCTCTGTGCAGAAGCTGGCAGACCCAAGCGACAGGAGTCAGCCTTCTCGGCTCTGCCTTAGCCCTGGGAGCTGGCACCCAGCCTTGAATGGGTAGAGAAGGGAAAGCAGAAGGGTCTGCGATGCCCGGACCACGATACAGCAGGGGAAAGTCACAAAAGCATCCTGGGAGAGGTCGGGGAGCCTGTGGTGGCTGCTGCTTCTCTGCATCCGAAGACTGCAAGCAGAGGCTGGGAGGGGAGGGAGGGAGAGGAAGGGAGGGAGGGAGGGCAGACAGATTCATTACTCAGAAGGAAGGGTCAGCCAGGCTATCCTCACCACTGTGGTAAATGGTAGGAAGGCCTTGCCCCTTGCAATCACAATAAGGGGTTTCTCAACGCACCTAACAATTTTATAGGCGCCGAGCCCATGTACTTGCCTCTGTACACTGCTGAGTAGGATGGGGAAAACAAAGAAGCCCAGACACCCCAGCTTCAGTAGTGCAGTCTTGTGGTTCCCCCTCTCTGACCAGCTTGCTTAGACAGGGATTCCTGTGCTACAGTGGCCACCTGGCGGCGTTCGTTGCTGCCCTCTGCTGGTCAGAAGCCAGCGTTGCAGACGCCCTAACAAGGCTGGATTCTTCCAACCCAAGATGATGACTTAATTAGTAGGGACACCTGCAGCTGCCTGCTTCGTGGCTTCCACGGGGAAAAGGGGAACCACACCTGCCATGAACAGAGTGTGGAGTTCATACCTCAGAAGATCACAGCGCACCCCTGGAGAGTCCATCAGCTCCTGAAGAGACAGCCTACTGCCCTGTGTTGCCCCACAGAGGTGGACCTGGTGCCTAACAGACCAGACATGCACCCTCCTGCCCACTGTGGCTGTTCCCACTACCTGTGTCTTCCTGCCCAAACCCAGCTCCCTTCATCGGGCTTCTGGGTAGTTAGTGAGCCCCAAACAGTAGCTTCCCTGCTTGCCAAGGTCTTCTGACCACCCGGTGCCTCTCAGAGATACTGGGGTGGAGGGTGCCATGCCTACAGCTCCAATATGGGGCTCAGAAGACACACCTTTTACACAGGCGACTTGTTTGCTGAGCTATACATGGGGCTGTCCACATGAGTAGGAGAGGGGGAAGGGGGACTCCCACACCCATAGCTGTGCCGTGTCCTGACCTCCCGGTGTTCCAAGGCAGAGGTGCATCTGCAGGACATTCGGATGTGAACTCTGCAGCCCCACGGGCCTGCCAGTGCCACCCCAGCTGGTGCCTGGCCTCTGGGAGCCGTCACTGGCTGCCTAGAACCTACTTAGAGCCTCTTGACTGGACACAGGACCATGAGGGAATGGTCTGCCTCCTCATAAAGAGGACAGGAAGGCCAGGGAGCCGCTCACCCTGGAGCCCAGAGGCCCACTCCTTGCCCCTGAGATTTGGCATGTCTGGAGGACATTGCCCATTTGGGCTCCGTCTTTTTCAGCTACGGCACAGACCCAGACACAGCGGCCTTGGGCACAGTCTTCCTGACTATCTTGCCTCCAGGAGACCCATGCCATCAGCATTCCTAGAGTAGAGTGTACCCTGAAACAGTCCGAGAACGCCAGCACTTCCTGGAAGCCCGTGGGAAAGGGACGCTGTGTCTCTCCCACCAACCGCCCAGCGGATGCCTCTGCTCCTTAAGCCACAATGGGAACCACAGCGACCAACACTTACCTCAGTACCATTCAGTATCCCCACCTATGCCCCAGAAAGGCTCAGAGTTCAGTGGATGTGTCTGGGAGGTGATCCCTCAAAACCATAGGGGCCAGAGGGCACTGGGGTTGGAAGAAGGCCGTTAGAAGGTGTGTTCTTAGCATAGTGTTGCCACATGGCTGAGCTCAGGCCCACTGGGCAATAGCAAAAAGGAACCCCAGGGTGGGAACTGGGGCGCCCAGCCCCCTGTGTGTGCTACCTCAGAGCTCCTGTCCTGCACACTAAGACTTTGAGGAGGGGGGTAACTGACTGACTAGGTAGACTGACGAGTGTGTGACCTGGCTGTGACATGAGCCCTCAGGCCAGGGCATCCAGGAGATGAGCTCCTCTGTCTTTGTCCAGAGCTGCGGAAGCGCTGGCCGGTCTGTCTTCACTGCTGCAGAGGAAGCTGAGGGGGGTCAGGCTGAAGGCCAGCCTCACTGAAGATGTCTGCACAGCCTGGGCCTTAGGCATGCTGCCCCTGGGCTCCCAGTCCTCCCGCATGAGCTATAGCGTGGTGGGCTTGAACCCTGAGTCCTTTCAAGTTCTCTGCCAGTGTTTAGTCTAAATGAGGACAGACTATGTGCAGCTGACCCCAACAACTAGAGCAGCCCGGGTGGGGGGGGGGGGGGAGTGAAGTGGCATGGCCGGGTTAGAGGAGCCTTGGGGGTCACGGCATGGCATAGCGTGCCTGGCAGATATCTGTACCCTGGAAGCTGCCCCTAAAACCAATCCGATTCTGACCCCCACTCTCAGAACTTCTTTGAGAGCAACAGAAGTGTGGGACTAAGAGGCCGCTGAGGGTTGAACTCAGTAGAGAGGGCCGTGCTGAGGGAGCTCATAGGAGACCTGGCCAAGGAGCCTGAGCCTGCTCTGGCAGGAGAGAGGTGGTCTCACAGGCTCACAAGGCCGAGCCTCGGGTTGCCATCTGAACCTTGAGAATTGTCTACTGGAGTTCTCTTGAGGATGGCTGGCCCAGGGGTGGGAAAGGTTGGGATGGAGAGAGAGACGGATGGGTGGGCCCGCATAGTCTCCAGAGAGACAGATGGGTGGGCCTGCACAGTCTCCAGGGTCACCTAGCAACCTCGCCTTCTCTCTGCAGCAGGCAGATGAGGCAGCCCAGACGGACAGCCAGCAGCTCCACCCTTCTGACCCCACGGAGAAGCAGCAGCCCAAAAGACTACATGTCTCCAACATCCCCTTCCGGTTCAGGGACCCTGACCTGCGGCAAATGTTCGGGGTGAGTGTGCGCACCCCTGCTTCTCTGTCCCCACCCCATCACTGCAGAGAGTCTGCGCCAGGAGATAGAGTCCTTGAATTCTTCTCATCTGAGTCCAACCAGCTCTCCCCTGGGGGGTGGGTACCCAAGCTTAGAGTAGGGTTTGGTGAGGGCTGTCTCTCAAGCACCATATGATCGACTGGTTCTCACTCCCAGGTCACCTGTTTCCCAGGGCCATAGAGTCCCCTAGGCCCCGGAAGCCTGCAGATTCTGCTTCCCAGAAGGTGCCTGGAGGTAGATCCTGGCCCCCTGGCCTTACACAGCTGCAGCCTCTCCTGTGTGTCTGGGGCTGACATGGTTCCCCTCTTCCAGGCTGTGTCCTGACTCCCCAAGGGAGGGGTAGCTCTGATTGGAGCCAAGCAGGCAGCAATGTCCTTCCCAGGTCCTCTGGGTGTGGTCATAGATTGTGCCCTGCTGGGCTCCAGAGAGGGCAGTACCCTTGCAACCCCATGCCAGGCTGCCCTGAAAGCTTGCCTTGGATCTGGACTCCAAGTCAAGTGCTGGTGTCTGTGGGTGGTGTGGCCTCCATGAAGCAGAAGGCTGGGGAATACGAGACAGTTTCCTGAACCCCTGGGCCTGCCCTGGCTGCAAAGGACCATGTAGCATGCCTCTGTTCCTTCTCTCTGTCTCCGCCCTTGCCTCAACTCCCCTCTCTCTGTCCAGCACCTGCTCCCTTTCTACCATACAACTAGCAAGTTGGGCCCTGAGCCTCAACCCCTGCTCAGCCTGGGATATGCAGGGCAGTGCAGGTACCTCTGAGAGGCCCTAGTGTGACCCTAGAATTGCATTCCCAATCTTGAGATGGGTCTCGCTGGATTGATGTGGCAGGCATGATTCAGGAGCACCAGATGATGATGCTAACAAGCCCTCTTGATCCGGGGTTTTGGGGGACCCTGACGTTAAGCAGGTGTCACTATAAACAATCTCTGACCGGGGCCCTCACCCTGCACCTACTCACAGGGGTGCTAACAGACAAGTAGAAACCAAGTGTCACGTTTCTGGGTTCATAGAGAATGAGGTAAAGGGTTCCCCTCCTCTCAGAACCTGCAGACAGGGCCCTATAGCTACCTTGTCCCCCAGCCCCCAGGCCCTCTTGCCCCGTGTAAGGAATGTGGTGGGTGAGAGAAGTCCCCGTCAGTTGCTGACCCTCACTGGTGGTGTGTGGAAATGTGGATCTCAGGTTCATGGTCCCGTACACCACTGAGGCAGACAAGAGGCTGACAGTCTAGACTCCAGGCTCGCTGCAGGGCTGGAAGGGATCAGCAGGAGGCAGAGCAATGTATCCTGCCTGGCAGGGCAATCCTGTACCAGCAGGAGGCCTGGGTTCTCACACACAAGCCTTTTCCACAGCCCAGGGACAAACAGTACCAAGTCCCAGGAGTCACCCGTATAAGGATCTGAGCCTCCCATATCCAGTCCTATCCCTGATCCCTGGTTCTTGACGCTAATATCTTCCTTCCCCTTGCCAGCTCCCACCCTCTTCCCCATCTCGATGGGGCCTGAAGCTTCCTTATCCCAACCAAGGGTCCTGATCTATCAACTCCACTGCCATTTTCTGGCACCGACACATGACCCTCCCCTCCTCCACAAGCCCATTCAGGCAAAGGCCTCTCAGCGGATTAAAGATGGCACTAATACCTTGGGCATTCCATCCCTGCTGTGGCCACCGCCCGAGAGGACCCTGGTGCTATGCCGGCGTGCTCCAGAGGAAGAAGGGGAGGGCGTCCCTGGGGTCCTCTTTCCCAGAGTACCTTGGGAGTGGAATGGTTAAGGCTGCTGCTGTCATAACCCCTTTCTCCTGTCTTCCACCCCTCCTCTCTCTGTCTCTGCAGCAATTCGGGAAAATTTTAGACGTGGAGATCATTTTTAACGAGCGGGGCTCCAAGGTGGGTGCCGCACAGAGGCCGCCACCATTACAGCGCGCCGGCTGTAGGTCCCGCCAGGCTAACGTGTGAAATGTGCGTTTCCTTCCTGGAGAGCTTCGCGCCCGCCCGCTCGCTCGCCCGCCCGCCCGAGGACCCCTGAGCCACACGGGTGCTTGTACTCCCTGCTCTTCTGCCCCCCGCCCCCAGCTGTCTGTTGTTGCTGCCAGGCTGCTTCTCCTCTTTCGGGCTGCCAGGACCTCCTGCTTGCACCCCAGAGCCCCACTGCCCCCAGCCCTGGGCCTGGGTCCCCAAGCCCACCCAGCCACTCACAACCCTGGAGGTTTGTGGGAGGGCGCCCAGCAAGGAAAAGCTCTGCTCCTCTCTCCAGGAAGACCCTGGACACATACCCTGGGCTCCCAGAGCAAAAGTGGGGGTGCTGTTCCCCATGGAGCCCAGTCTCAGCCCCTTACCCCGAGGTGGGGTTACAGTGACAGGCATGGCCCCTGGCCAGGTTAGCGTCTCTTTGGCCTGTCCTGGGAGATGTCAGGCGTGGTGGGCTCAGGCTGGGCTCAGGCCCTGCCCTTGCCTGGGGCGATCTCCTAGCGCTGGCACCAAGACAGACTTCCCACACTGGGGGCTCTCCTTCACTCACCTGACTTGCCCCCTCTCTCTCCCTCCCTCTCCCCTTCCCCCCTCCTCTCCTTCCCTTTTCTCATCCTGTCTTCTCCTATCTGTCCCTCCTCTGCTCACAGGGTTTTGGGTTTGTAACTTTTGAAACTAGCTCAGATGCTGACCGAGCCCGGGAGAAGCTGAATGGGACGATCGTAGAGGGACGGAAAATTGAGGTGCTCAGATAAGTGTGCGGGGGCAGCAGGGCAGGGCAGGGAGGTCCCGGGCAGCATGCCCCATCCCTGGGCCCCCCACCAGCCTGGTGGCTGCTGCCCATCCTACAAAGAGCCCAACAGGGGTCTCTGGCTGGGAGAGGAGCTGCCCTGAGCCTGACCTCCCCATCATCAGCTTCACGGCTGAGCCTAGCACCGGTCGCTCTGGCCACTGGAGGCTTGCGGCTCCCTCTGAGGCCTCTGCCCCCTGACTTCCTTCTCTTTTTCCTCCTGGAAGAGCCCTATCCCCATCCACACACAGGAGGCTCCAGAAAACATGAGGCCAAGGGGTCTCAAGGGCTGTGAGCAGCCCTGCCTGTCCCTGACAAAGAGGGTCCTCCCGTCAGGCAGCCTCAGCTGCCACCCTCGTTGAGCAGAAGCGGAAGTGGCAGCAGCTGGCCCAACGCTAGCAGTGCACAGGCACCCCGTGTCTGCCCCTTTCCTCCTTGTTGGCTCTTCAGTGTGGCTTCGGGGTCCAGAGCTGGGCTCCCCCAGCAGGCCTGAAGCAGAAGGGGCGATGATTAAAGAGGGGCCTAGAACTGTAGACACTGAAGGAATCCTGACACGCCTGACCCAGCCCAGTGTCTCTGAGACCTCTGCCCAGGCCTCTAGGCTCATACACAGAGCGCGCAGAGGATGCATGCGACCCAGACCTCTTCCTCGGGCGCTGCCTGATTCATTTCTGCCTCCCTTACTTCCATTTGATCCACCTTTGTCCTCTGTGTCATGGCCCCTCCCCCAGACAGTCTGGCTAGGCCTTATGTGTCTGGAAAACAAGACCCGACCCCTGGGTTCTGTCTTTCTAATGCTTCCCTGACCCACCTTGACCGCCCCCCCCCCCATCAAAAAGTTCCATGCTGCAGAGAGAGGTCAAAGACCCTGATCCCAGGAAAAGAGTTGCTTGCACATGGTGGTAGGAGTAGCCACCCTGCACCCACACCCAGGAGGGCTTGGCAGCTGCCTGGAAGAGAATAGCATGGAGCCTGGGCCACCAGTAGGCCTAGGACCATCTCCAAGGGCCCCCGCTTACTGGCAGTGTTGGGCTCTGTTTACTGGAACTGCTTCATGAAAACCACCACTGTGGGTCAAGAGTCCTGGACCCAGCTAGATAGCAGCTTAAGCGCCTCAGTGGCCTTCCTCCCCAGAGGCCACACCCCAAGGGTAAAACCAGGGTGGCTGCGGGCCTGCAGTGAAGCTGAACACTCATCACTCTCTCTATCTCCGGACAGGTTAATAATGCCACAGCTCGGGTCATGACCAATAAGAAGCCTGGGAACCCATATGCCAACGGTGAGAACCCAGCATGCTTCAGGGACCGGAAGCAGAAGCCTGGGGAAGCTGAGGCAGCCAAAAGCCGGCCTTCCCGGCTCTAAATCACACCCCCCATCTGGTGTCCCAGCTTTCCTGATTCTGTCCTGTCAGAGAGGAGTGGTCATCACCCTCCACACCCACATAGCTGGTGTCTCCCGAGTGTCCACACTGTCCGGTATCCACAGCTCCCAGAGGCCGTGTAGAAAGGCAGTGGGGGCAGACAAACCATGGTAACTTCCTGGAAGACTAGAGTTGAGTCTAGAAGGCTCTGTCATCTAGTACACTGTCCTCATTCACAGGGGAGGGAAGAAGGAACCAGGGACTTTAGTCAAGCTTCTAGACATCGCTGGACCCCAATCTTTTCATCTGAGAGATGGGAATGTGGGGGGGGGCTGGGGATGTGTCCCCGTTGCAGAGTATTTGCGTGGCATGCACAGAGCCCTGAGCTGCATCCCTCTGCAATGCATGAACCCGTGGGGTGCTACACGTCTGTAATCCCAGCACTTGCAAAGTAGAGGCAGAAGGATCAGAAGTTCAAGGCCTGCTTGGGCCACACGAGACCCTACACTACCTAGAGCTGGGGAATGACACATGGCCTCTCTAAGGAACACGCAGGGCTGGGGACACAGGTGTCAGTGTTAAGTAGTGAGATGCTGACGATGAAAGCAGCCTGTCCCTTGGACTTCAGTGTCCGCTCCAGCTCCCAGCTGGCCTGCACTGTGAGCTAACAATGTGGTTGTGTATACACACACCTGCTACGTAGCTCGCACCCTTTCCTCCAGTCCACCTGTGCTGGTAGCTGGCTCCACCGAGACTTTTAGGAAATTGCCAGCGAGAGCTCTGCCCTGAGGGTAGCTGGCTGTGTAGCAGAGCCTTTTCTAGCTCTGGAGGCCTGCTGGGGAGCAGCGTCTGTAGCTGGAGTTGGGGTACTCACTCATAGACAACACAGAGTGACCCGCCTCTGCACGGGGGTAGGGTGGACCACATCTCAGCTGCCCTTGTCTTCAGCCATGGGCGGTGTGCATAGCTGGGGCCCCATTGGTGCGGAAAGCCCGCCTGCGGCAGAGCCGTGGGTAGAGCTGGCACGTGGTCAGACAGCGCTCAGGGGTCAGAGCTTGGGTGAGAAGGTGTCCTAGTTAGGATGAGCACCAGGACCAAAAGCAGCTCCAGGAAGAATTTGTTTGCCTTGCGCATCCTGATCACGGTGCATCCTGTTCACAATCCGTTGCTGAGGGAACCTGGAGGCAGGAACTGAGGCAGCGACCATGCAGGAACACTGCTTTTCGGCTTGCTCACCCTGGCTTTCTCATACACCTGCCTGGGGTGGCACTACTCAGGTGTGCCGGGCCTTCCATCAATCATTAATCAAGAAAGTGCCCCACCAGCTTGCCTACAGGCTAAGATGATGGGGTCATTTTCTAACTAAGGCTCCCTCTTCCTAGATGACTCCGGCTTGTGTCAAATTGGGGCGGGAAAGAAACTCTAACCAGCACAGATGGGGACTCGGGCCAGTTCCAGCTTAGGACTGGGTATCCAAGGCTTCTTCCCGCTTTTGCAAGGATTTGGTTCTCAAACTTCTGAGAACTTGAAGGTGTCCTGGATTGGCCTGAGTCCCTCGTGAAGCCTGGCCAACTTCTGCTGGCTGGTGCTTAGCACAGGTGGTAAAAGGGTAAGCTTTTTTTCAGGCAAACAAGCTGTGGGGTTTGTGGGTGCTGTGGTTTAAGCAGTGGTCACCATGGGGAAAGAGCCCTCCTTGGTAGGGGGGGCTTATCCTGAAGTCGCGACTCAGACACACTGACCCTACAGCATCCCAGTCAGCCACCAATCTTCATCAATTAAATTGATAAAGCCTTCTTTAATATCTGGACATTCTAATGGCTCAAGAACATGAGCTTGATCCTACACAGGGCCTTGGTCATAATCTCCTGATTCTGCAGTTTGGAGTAAATGGGGGCAATGGTCCAGCCATCGTGATCGCCTGCCACTGTGTGAGCCACGGGCACCTCAAATGACTCTCTGGACCCTGGACTGGGCTATAGGAGCAGAGTCATGACATGCACTAGAAAGTCTGTCTCTAAGATCAGCAGCCACCCATGCTCAGCGACTGCTCTGTCTGCAGCCACTGCACACGAGCCCTGGCAGGCAAGGGACCTGCTGGCTTCTGTGGCTCCAGAGGGCTTGGGTGGTCCACAGCAGCTGTGCCACAGCTGAGCCCCTTCCCACTCTTTGCTCAAGACCCTTGAGTCCCACCACTGTCTTGGTAGAGCGGGAGAGTTGAGGAGTGTGCTATGCAGAATAAATCCAACCCCAGCCGGCTCCTTGGGGTACTGATGCTGGCTGGTGTCAGGAAGTGAGAGAGGCAGAAAGCCCTGCTCCTCGTGCTGTGGGAGAGCTGTGCTTTGGTGCCTCCGCGTGCCAGGCAAGCATCCCAGGGCTTCAGAGAGACAGCCCTGGGATCACTGCAGCATGGTGAGGAGGGGCATTGGCTCGTAAGGGCTTTAACGCTGAGTACTGTGAAGTTCATCATTGGGGTGTCGGGGTCCCTGCTGCAGGAAACAAGCCCACCATGTGGTACCAGGTGCCCTACTTACAGTGGACACAGACCGTTGTCCGGGTGGGTCCTCGGGCTCTCTGTGAACCTGTGGGGTTCAACTGAAGCAGAGCCAACAGGCAGGTAGACATTCTCAGCTCAGAGTGCCTGGGGTCCCCGAGACAGAATGCAGCCCCTGACTCTCCTCTTCCGGGATGGACCAGAGGAGCCTGGAAAGACACCTAAGGAGAGTAGGACCCAGAGCGGCTCCAGGGTTCTGCTTCATCACGACCCATCCTGGAAGATGATGGGGTGCATTCCCCCAGGTTTCTTCCCTGTTAACCTTAGCTGTCTGGAAGATTCCAGAATCCTGGTCTGTCTAGACACAGGTGGGATTCTAGTGCCCTGAGGGTGGAAAATGCTTAGTCTCACACAGGTGGATAGCGTGCCTGCACGTTCCACTCAGGTGCCGCTTGTCCACATGCCCTCCCGTGGGCTGGAAGAATTGGGATTAGGAACTTCACGTGTGGTCTGCTATGGTCCATCACCACCAGCTGACCGGTAGCTCGGGTCCTCTCTGTGCCTCCTCACCAGGATCTGAGTAGACTGAGGAGATGAGCCAATCCTTCCTCACCTGCCGTCTGACCCATAGCCCACTGGAATCCAGCCGAACCCTGCCTCTGGGGACCGCAGGGAAACGGGGCTTTGCTCCTGAATCCCAGTGGGAAAAGAGGACTGTCCACCTGGAAGAAGGGAGCGGTAGTGGGGGGGGTGCAGAGTCCAGGTGTAGTCCCAGGGAGAAGCGAGAAAACCCATCTGGCTTGATAATATGGGTTTGAAACCCGCTCTTTCTTCCACACACACACATATTACCAATCTGTGTCTGAATATAAAATTGGAAGCTTGTGACACCTGCCCCGTGTATGATGAGAACCTCAGGAGTTAACAGTGTTTTTGGCACACACCAAGTACACAGGACCTATCAACCATCATTATTTTAACATTTTTGTGTGTGTGTGTGTGTGTGTGTGTGTGTGTGTGTGTGTGTGTGTGTGTCAGAGAACAACTTTCAAGACTTGGTTCTCTCCTTCCACCATGTAGGTCCAGGGACTGGAACTCTGGTCACCAGGTTTAGCAGCAAGCACCTTTACCCACTGAGCCATTTTGCTGACCCTGTCACTATTATCTTGGATCTAATGGCCTTCCTCCCCCTCTTTCCCAGCAACTCTGCAGAAGGACTTGAGACAAGAGGACAAAGGGTGGGGGACCCATCATTCAGGGAAGGGAGCCCCAGGAATCTCAGAGCAGCAGGGAGACTTTCAGGCAGGATGGGAAGAAAGACCCCCAAAAGTGAATCAGATACAGATATTTTCAACTTGTGTCTCCCTTTTCCATTGTACCCCAAGCTTCTAATGCCCCAGGGCAAGCGTGCCCAGCAGCAAGCTGGGGGAGGTCACACTGTAGGGGAACCCCAAGAACCCAGGTGATGGGCTAAAGTGGGGGTGCCTGCTATTATTCCAGTAGCAAGTGGCTGTGGTATGGAGAGAGGGGCCTGGTTGATGACCCACGTCCTCTGCCCATTCCTGGACAGGGTCCTGCCCTTCGCAGAGGCCCAATGTTAATTAATCCCAGAAGGCTTGGCTGTTTACTGCCTTTGGAGGTCCCAGGCATAAGGAGAGGTGGCGGTAGGTTGGGAAGTCAGTGACTATGTTCTTTCTGTTCTAGGCTGGAAGCTAAACCCTGTAGTAGGGGCAGTGTATGGGCCTGAATTCTATGCAGGTAAAGGTGGGGACAGGGGCAAATGGAGTGGGCTGAGGCAGGGCAAGTGGAGCTGCAAGCCTTAACCTCTCCTCACTGTCCTCCTCTCTCCTTTTCCTTTCTTGCAGTGACCAGTTTCCCCTACCCCACCACGGGCACCGCCGTCGCCTACCGGGGTGCACACCTGCGGGGCCGGGGCCGTGCTGTGTATAATACATTTCGAGCTGCACCACCTCCGCCCCCCATTCCGACTTATGGAGCGTGAGTACCTGAAAGGGGGAGGCTGAAGGAAAGCCAGGGGGCGTGGGAGGTAGCCCTGAGCAGCTAAGGGGGCTCAGCTGCCCTTCCAGAACTGTGGGGCTGGACAGAATGGTGGGGACCCCAGAGCTCAGCACTGGAACTGCCTGCACCATCAGTATCCCCACCACAAGGGACGTCTCCAGGGCTCACTGGCCTCTGGAGGATCATTTAGAACCACGTGTCATCTGAATGCTAACTAAGGGCATGTGTCAGCCCTTGGGTCCAGCAAGGGCCTTCTGGGAGCCCTCTCTGGACCCTTCCATGGGGTCCTGCCCTCCACTGCTGAAGGGGGAGAGAGGGGAGGCTAGCAGGAGAGGGCTGATGGGCCCCTGGGTTTTGGGAGAAAGGAGCTGACCAGCAAGGGTGTTACTCTATTGTTATACCAAACAGGGCACTGGAGCAAACGCTTGTTAAAATGCCAGTCCCGTGGGCGGGGCTGGCACCGTGCCCCCTCCCTCCTCAGCAGACACCGGAGCCGGCCTACCCCGCCTCTCCAGCGTTCCCACCACTCTCTTGTCCGTTTGCTTCCAGGGTCGTGTATCAGGATGGATTTTATGGTGCTGAGATTTATGTAAGTGTAGCCCTGGGGAGGGAAGGGTGCAAGCCCAACATTCCGTGTGTGCCTGTGAGAAGTCCGTCTGTCCTCATGGCCTCACTCAGACTCAGTGCACAGAGACTATGGCCATGTCTAATGGCTGTCCCAGTAGCGCTATAAACCTAAGGCAGCCTGCCTCATGTGGCAGGGGGTTTTGTGAAGGGCACTGAGTGGCCCTCTCCTGTTCCTAACCAGGCTAAGGGCGGCAGCCACACCCTTTGCTGGTGTGGAGGTCCAGAAGGATACCAGAGGTAGACCCCGAGTGTCCCTTCTCTCTGGGTAAAGTCCTGTCCCTCTCTCTCCCTCTGAGACTGTGCTCATCCCGTTCTGTGGCTGAGACCCTCAGTGAGCACCCCCATAATAAATCTGGCTGTGCCTTGCCCCTGGGCAGCTACCCATAGTTAACTACCCACTTGTCTAAGGTATATCTGAGCCAATCCCTTCAAGGCCCCCTTCATTCTTCCTGGTGTCCAGGACTGTGTCCAGAGTCACCAATGGGCTTCCTATAACTGGCAGTGTTCAGGCTGGAGTGTTGGTGGGTCTGTGGGCTCTTACTGTGTGCCAGGACCAGCATGCAGCATACAATTGGTGCAAAATAGTGTGCACTGAAATTGCAAATGATTGTGAGAACAGACAAGGAAGACAAGGAGGTAGGGAGGGAGGAGGAACGGAAGGAAGGAAGGAAGGAAGGAAGGAAGGAAGGAAGGAAGGAAGGAAGGAAGGAAGGACGGACAAAGGAACAGGCAGCCCTGCTTCATCTTGAACAGTGCAGTCCTCAGACCTCTGTCAGCCTACAGACCAGGTTCCCAGGCCAGGACCACCTAAGCCACGCCAGGCCAAGGTGGGAGTGGCAAGTCAGGCACAGGAGGCCTGAGAAGATCTGCAGTCCCTCCTGAGGGCCTGGCTCTGCTGGCTCTGTGCCTACCTCAGTTTCTCTGGCTCTGCCTCAACCTGAGTGAGCCCCACTGAGTCCATCTGCCATCTCTCCTTCCTCCCTCCCCTGCAGGGAGGCTATGCAGCTTACAGATATGCTCAGCCCGCAGCCGCAGCCGCCGCAGCCTACAGCGACAGGTGAGACGGCGGGCCGCACAGGGGTGCTGGGGGCTCCTAGGAGGATGGGTGCAGACAGACAGGAAACCCCATCCACCACTCAGAACCTGTCCATGCCTGTGTCTGGTGAATGCAGGGCTGGAAGGATCCAAATTGAGCTCAGAGATCCTTGAACCAGGGAATCCCTGACTGGTTACCTCATTTTGTCTCGTGGAGCAGACATAACACCCAGGTCTCAACCCAGGGGTCTCACAGCTCTCAAGAAGAGCTCTCTACGAGGAGGGTGACTGGGGGCCCCTATTTGACCTCTGGAAACAACCCTGGTCCAGTTTGTGTCTGGGAGCAGCCGGCCCTCCCTCTGCCCAGCTGTGGTTGCTCAGGGCAAGTCCTCATTGAAGGCTGAGTCTAATGCTTTTTCCCTCACGCTCTTGGCCCGGTAGCTTCAGAGCTCCTGTCTGGGCCATAGAGTGGATCCATGTGCCCCCTGTGGCCTGGAGGCTGCCTGCCACCCACTACCCTACCACCATAACGGGCAGGGCCCTCCAATCCTTGCTCTCCTTACAATCTATTGGCCCGCCTTACCACAGGTGCAAGGCAGGCAGGGTGACCCAGCCTTATCCCCCTAAGAATTCATCACCTCACAAACTAGGTGAGCAAAAGGTCATCTGGGACAGAGTGCCACCCACCTCTTGGGCCGTGGTGTCCCTGGTCCCCATCCCCCATCTCTCTCTTCTCTCAAACTCTGCGCCCTAGTTCTTGCTTGAGGCAGACTCACACGAACGACACCATCCCCTCCCCGCGTCACCAAGCAGAACACATTGGCCACCTAAACGAAGGGGGTGTACCGCTAAGTTCCAGAAACTTCTCTCCAAACAGAAAGCAAGGACAGGCAACTGAGAGGGTCTCATGGGGGACGGAGGAGCCTCGGGGGAAGGGCGCTGGTCTGGGAAGTGTGGTCAGCTGTCACTGCCTGCTTCAGCCATCCCTCTCCGGCACCCTCCCCCTCCCTGCTCTTCCCTAGTTATGGCAGAGTCTATGCAGCCACCGATCCCTACCATCACACCATCGGCCCCACAGCAACCTACAGCATCGGAACCATGGTAAGAACAACCGCCCTTAGCGACGAAGACATCCGTCCTGTACTGGGATGGGTGGGACCAGGCTGCAGGCCGAGGCTGAGACCTGCAGCCAGTGCCTCGTTCTGGAGAGCTGGGGAGGAACTTGCCCCAGAGGCAGGTCCAACCCTCCACGGTGACCTGACCTCTGGGAAGCATCCTAGTGTTCCAGAACCCGGTGACCACAGTCCTGCCTGCAGGGGCCTGGCAGTTTGGGTAGATGTAACCCATTCTTCCCTGGGAAGTGTCTCAGGTTAACCTCCCCCTCACCTTCCCATTCTCACTTGGCAGAGGAACTAAAGGACAGCAACCCTTTCTCACCACACTCTTCCCAGACTGTCCCGAGGCTCCAGGGAAATGGTCTCCAGCAGCCTCATCCACCGTGTTCAGGGTGGAGAAGACTCTAGCAGGGTGGGAGAGTGGGTGGGCTGGTGTGTCTGTGTGCGTGTGTATGTGTGTATGTGTGTGTGTGTACGCCCAGACCCTCTGTACCCCAGTCTGTGTCCAGTGCACACCTACTTCCTGTGCCTTAGATGCCCCCCACCCCAGGGATGTTGTATGTTTCTAGCTTGGCATCCAGCATCAAAGATGAAAACATTTGGGGGGGGCAGTAAAGAGAGAGAAAGCTGAGGGGCAACATGAATTTTTTTCCTACCTCCCTTGGTTTTGATTATTCCCTTGGGGATTTTTGTCTTCATTGATTTTTAACAAGCCCCAGACATCCTGAGCAGGCCTGTGGGGCTCTAGCTAAGAGGGTGCCGCAGCCGTACAGGAAGAGACCCAGACCCAGGACTGCAACCTGAAGGCCCAGGCTACCCACTCAGCTCAGCCTCAAGGCTGCTAGCTGAGCACTGTGGTGGACTCACGGGCCCCTCTTGGTTATGGCTTATTTTTTCTGGCTTTTTCCAACTGTGTTTGCTACTTTCTTCCCATTCCCTGCCAAACTCAGGGGAGGGGAGGCGAGAACCAGATTCCTTAGAAACCTCTCTGGCAAGACACAGTGCCGAGCTTAGCAGGCCCTAGGAGCCCAGAAGCAGGTCAGGAACTGTGACCAGCAGGTGTGCCCCTCAGATGTCAGTGGCTCTGGAGGCCTGTGGGAGCATCCTCACTAGCCCCGTAGGCACGAGGAGGTATCTCCACCAGAGTGCACAGTAGGCCCAGTTGAAGCCCCAAGAAGTGAGCCCAAAGACAGTATAGAAGTCTCCAGGGGGAGAGGGGAATCATCCCTCCCAGCCCCAAGACCACCACCCAGGAACCAGGCCCCCCAATTGCCATGGTAACCAGAAACCCATTCTTCCCAACGAAATACTATTGGGGGAAAGAAAGTGGGGTTAGCTATTTCTTTTTCTTTTTCGGTTTTCCTTAATTTTTTTTTTCTTTTTGATTTTTTCCTCCCGATACCGAAAGATGGTACTGATTGGCTGTTTTTCATCTTTGATGTTGCAGGCTAGCCTCTGCCGAGGAGGGTACAGCCGCTTCACCCCCTACTAGCAAGAGACCCCCCTCACAGCATTCATGCCACTGCTTATTCCAAACCAAACCCTCCACTCCCAACACCAGACACAGCCACCAGGAGGACAGTGCGCCCCTCCCGGTCAGCGACACGCGCCGCTGACCCCTCTGCGACTCTAAAGTCCGTAGATTTTTACCTCCAGCCAGCTGGTCTCCCCACCCCACCCATGCCGGTGTGTGTGTCTCTGACCCTGGTTTTCCTGTATGTCTGAACCTTGGTTTCCTATCTTGACGTTGTTGGTGTTGTACAGCCACTTCAGGTACAGTATGCATACAGCGGGAGCCAGGCCGGGGGGACAGCAGGTCGCCCTACCAGGGCCGTGCCTGTGTCGCAGGGCCACGCGGGCTCTTAGAGCTCCAGAGGTGCCACCAAACCTCCCTCTGAGTCACCTCGGTCAACCCCTGCAGGCCTGGCCACCCCCATGCTTGGTGACTGATAGAGGCCTCGTCAGTGGGTTTCCCGGTGGGAGGGGCCTCCATCCACCTTTCACCGGGAATGTCAGGAGTAGCTGCCCCATCTGGACTTCCTCTCAGCTGAAGTTAATGTTTCTATTAAAGTTTACTGATTATCCTCCTGTCCAGGGAGTCATGAGCACACTGTTCCGTGTGTGTACGCCTGTGGTCACCCCAGCTCTGGGTTTCCTTACAGAAATGTCCCTGCCCCAGAGTCACCCTGCATTGGTGGCCCTGGAGACTGTCCCTGAGCCTCATCACCTCCTCAGGCATCTGAAGCTGATGCCTCCAGGTGTTTGTCCTCAACCTACAGAGCCCCTCCCCCAACCATCGCGAGACTCGACATACCCATTGTCAAGGTCCATCCCAGGAGAGGAAAGGGCTCCAGTCATCAGGCCAGGGACATATGTCCGCTTCCTTCCTCACCCAAGCCTCCGTTAGCATGTCTGTGCCTCTGTGGCCCACCTAGCTCTACTGTCCAGAGTCCCAGAGAGTATGCCTGTTGGCACCTGAGGTCAGGTCGAGAGCTCTGGAGAACTAGCCGGTGCTGGCCCTTCCACTCCGGGGGTTCAGAACCACAAGGCAACCAAAGTTGTTAGCCCCATTGTAGACAGAGCCCTGCTCCCTCTCCTTCCACGATCTCTACCATATCCCACCTGGTCCGCTCATCCCTACAAGATGGTCTGCTTTACGTCTAGCCTGTGGTGGGGCTCCAGAAGCTGTGGGGGAAAGGCTTAGGGGCACTGTGGCTTCAGGTCGGACCCAAGCCCGCAGGCACAGTGGCCCCATGTGCTGCGGCTACCCCTCGGAAACTGCAGCCCTTCCCTTTCTCTTTCTGTTGTAGTGAAACCTTCCACCGTCTCCTTCTCGGACCATGAAGGGCAAAAACAAAAAACAAAAAACAAAAAAAAAATCACAAAACAAAAAACAAAACAAAAAAAGATGTTAAGATCCAAGCAGCAACAACAACAACAAAAAATTCCAACCAAACCAAGAGGCATCCAACCAAGTCCAAGTCCAAGTCCACGTCTGGCGTACGCCCGCACCGAGGGAGCTCGTCCCCCAGGGGGCGCCGGAGAGTGGCCTTGCCTGGCTGGCGGTGCAGTAGGGATGCGGCCAGGCACTGGGGAAGACCTGGAGGGGAAATGTGGCCCGTGGGTGTGGGGCGGGGGGGCTCCGGTATCTTACCCAGTCTTCCTTTCCCACCCTGCTCCCTAGGCAGGAGTTCCTAGGGTGGAGCAGGCCCCTGAGAAGGAGCAACCAGCTGACTTGGGCTATTGCCTGCTGAGCCCTGGAGGGGCTGGAGGCAGTTAGGGGCCAAGGGCAGCTTGTCACTATTCCAGGTCTCCAGCCTGGCCTCACTGAATGTGCTGCCAGTGCGTCAGCTGTCCAACCAGCCGCCCTGGGGTCCAACTCCCAATGCAAAGGGCTGACATGGCTCCAGGACTCTGGAGCACCCCATGCTCCCGCTCCCCTATGTGAGAAAAGCTTCCAGCTACAGAGAAGGAAGGAGGCCCAGCCAGCAGGGACCTAGTCCTCATGCTGTGGGCGTGCACAGGGGGGCCCTGGAGCACAGCTTTTGTTTGTAGTGGCAGCCTTCCTGAAGAAGGACCCAACCCTCCTTCCTGCTCCCTCCTGTGGCTCAGTTCTGCTAGGGAGCGGGCGATGACAGATGGGCCAGCCCTGGGCTGCACCTCGAGGCCGGGAGTCAAGGTGCTAGGGTCTGGAGGGCCACGGTCAGAGCAGGACCCATGGGGAAGGCAAGGAATGGGGACGGTCTGGGCTGGCCCCGCCGCAGGGAAGGCCAGCGGGGCTGCAGCCCCTTCGCTCCCTGGGCAGGAATAGTGGGTGTCACAGGAAAGCAGCAGGCCCAGTGGATGGCACAAGGGACAGGTAGCAAGAAGCCCCTGGCAAGGCCGGGATAGGTGGAGTAGGATTAACAGCAAAAAAATAAAAAAATAACAGAAACCATGGCTCCCGACGCGGCACCACTGTCTCATGACACCTCAAAATAAATCACCTCACTTTCTATCCAGCATCAGCCACCGAAGCTATGGAAACGGAACCCTCCTTTTCTATTCCTGTTGTACATAGCCCCGCGCCTGCCTCCGGCTCTGTCCTCTGTACAGAGCCCCTCGCCTTCTGCTGTTTCGGACCCTTTTCCCACAGCAGCTTGGAACCCTCATCCCAGCCCCTCTCCCAGGACTGCAGCCGAGCCCCAGGCTTCCTTTCTTACCATTCTGTATGCTTCCACGGTGTGATCATTCAAAGTAACAGTATTACTATTAAGATTAATAAAGATTTCTTTCTTCAAACCAGGATGGCTTTTTCTGATTTAGCAGTTCCCTGCACGGGGGGGGGGGGGGGGGACACTCAAGGTCTGGGGTTTGGGGCTCAGCCCTAGGATAGGCAGGTGATAGTGGGGAGGCTGGGGACCCTCTGGGCAAACACCTGGGACGTTCTAGCCCCCTTCTTCAGGCTGGCCTCTGCACCTGCCTTCAGACTCGTGGAGCAGAGCAGCCCGCAAGGCTTCTACCAGTTGGAGCTAAGGAAGCAGGGGCATGGTGGGCATTCCCCAGGCATGGTGTTGACTGGATGTGAGAGGTCACAGAGCCAGGGATAGGGCGTGAAGCCATCATGGTGTGGACACCCTCAACGGCGGCCCTACATTCATTCCAAGGTGAATGTGTGGCCCAGCCTTGAACCCTGACTTCCGGAAAGAGGTGGCAGCAGAACAGTAGGTGGGGGCGGCTAAGGCAGGGGCTGAGATCTGCCATGAGACGCAGAATCCAAACCAAAAGCTTCGGGGCTGGGGCCAAGAGCCGGATCACACCAAGACTTGCCTTCTCGTTTTTTCACATTGGATAATTTATTTCCAAGCGATTATATCCACCAGAGGGGCCCGGGCTTAAATGCCGGCAGATTAATTTTCCTGCGCAGGAGTCAGTGTTGCCGGGACTGGGGACCGTGCTCCTGGGAAGTGGGGTTGCGCGGCTTTGCCTCACGCCACGCTCTGCTAAGCCCCCTTACTTCTAATTGCTTGCTCACCAGACTGTAAGAAAATAATTGCCACTATAAATTTTCCCTCCTTCTCTGCATAAAATATTTGAAGGAACTAGCACTTTTAAAAAGTGTCCTCGGTACCATGAGGGAATCAGGGCATTCAGGAATGCTGCACTGCCCCAGAACCCACCACCTGCCCTGCCTGCCACCCGTGGACTCTCCGCTTCAGGCATAGTACCCTGGCTGGGACTGGGGAAGCCAGGGTCCTGGGGGCAGGTTCCCGCATAAGACCAGAGAAAGCAAGGCCAGCACAGTCCTGGGTGCTCCTCTCCCACTTGCAAGGCTGGTGGCCACATGTCAGGGTACAGGACTGGCCTGGACTTTACCAGAGGCCCTGTCCTGCCCCTGTCCCTGTGAGAGCCGGTAATCACAGGAGAAACCTGGCAGAATGGTTCTAGGTCCTTATAGGTGCCACTCGCGAGAGACAGAGTGCCCACAAAATCAGGGAAGATGGGCGGAAGCATCAACCCACACAGGCAGGAGCCACCCTTGCCCTCCTTGCCTGGCACTCAGAACTCTGAGGAAGCACCAACCTCTGGGGGATGGCGACAGGCTGCCCTAGCGGTGACAGGTCAGACCCCAGAGCTGTGTCAAAGAGGGTCCCATGTATGAACACAGAAGGGATGACAGGTCGTGGCCTGAGCATGAAGCACTGGGAAAAGATGGTGGCGTCACCCACGGCCCAGATACACAGGGTGGCTTCCATGAAGTCCAGTGTCAACAGGGCTCTGTACAGCTAAGGACATAGCCACACCTAGAGGGAGGCAAGGCTCACTTGTCTCTAGGAGACACGGGGGCACCTGATGCCTCTGCACCTTCACCATGGCAGACAGCCTGTGCACAGGCAAGGGAGTTGGGGTTCACGGGGACAGTCAGCTGCCAAAGCTACCATCCACACAGGTAGTCTGATGATGACTGGCCCACCTTGTACGGGGGGAGCGGGGTGCCAATGCCCACCAGATGGAGCTCCTAGTCCTAGAGGCCACCATCTCAGCTACCCTGTGAGTACCCAACTCCCACTCCAAGCCTAAGGGGTGTTGCCTCAGCCTTCAGGAGGCATCGCAAACCCTGGCCTCTCAGGGTCCTTACTGTCACCAGTGAGGTTTGTCTCTGATTGTCAAAGCTGCAGGGACAAATGGCCACCATTCTCAACAGAAACATCTTTTCAGACTGTGCGTGATAGCCTTTACTGAACCTTCTGAAAGAAACTTCAAACGCTCTCCTTCTCCCTTGAGTCCTGTTTCCCATGGAGGGCATTACACAGAAGGATGTGGGTGCTAGGTAACTCACCTGGAGCACCCACAGGGCAGAGCTTCCTGAGAGCACGGGCAGAGCCTAGAGACGTGGCCTCCTGGGGACCCAGCTATACTCCGTGGTCCACTCAGCCCTGGGTGGTTGGTCAAGAGGAAACCTCGAGTCTTGAGGCAAGAAGGGTATTATGCTCTGGGGTGGGCTCACTGAGGGGCCGAGTAGACCAGGGCTGCCCTGCCCCACTCGGCCTGAGGCACCTGGAAGCCCTCCCTGGGGACAGGCTCCACCAGGAACTCCACACGACCATCCTGCCCAAATCTAGCGGCCCCCACTACCACGTCCACCACACGGTACTGGTTGGCAAAAGCCAGGCCCAGGAACGTGGGCTTCTCAGTCCCGTCCGTGGCGGAGCTGCCTCCTGTCTGTTCCCAGCAGTGAATTCGGAAGCACCTGGCTCGGAGCACGTGGAAGGACCACTGAAGAGTGCAGCTGAGGAGGAGCTGGGCAGGGCGGTCCTCGGACCCAGAGATCAGCGGAAGCCAGCGGAGCTGCGAGATGGTGACCTTCTGTACCCGGGGCAGAGGGGCCAGCAGGCTGTTGGCATCAACCACCTGATAGGAGAGAGGTTTGGCTGGCGAGATGCCCAGGGAGGCACTCCTCAGAGCCTCCATCCACCCCTTCCTCCCCACAGGCCCAGCTCCCACATAAACACCTGGATCTCTCCAAGGCGACAAACGAAGCCCTTCTCCTCCCGGCTGCCAGGTGGCCGTGAGAAGCTCATCAAGAGGTCCTGAAGCAGGCACCCGTGCAGGCTCACCTCATAGCAGCTGAAAGAACACACAGACTACTCACAAGCCAGCTATGGGGAGGGCCCTGACCACAGCAGGAAGCATCCCAGGGGTCCCCAGGTCACGGGGCCCAGGACTACAGCAGGTTCCTGTGAGGAATATTCTGGTCTATCTCACTGCTGCCAAAACAAGATCTCTCCTTCCCTCTTGTTCCGGGGGGGGGGGGCAGCGGGGGGGTGTTTCTCAGTGGGGAAATCTTGTTCCTTAAATTCCTCCATGTGTGCCCATAGCCTTAAGGGGACCTGACAGGAGAGGGACTCACCATTGAATCCAGCCCCCACTGAGCTGCTGGCCGCAACGGCCACTCCATCTGGCCAGTTTGGTGGGGGGCACCCGGAGGGGTCGGGGGCTGTGCCTTGAGCCAGAATCTGCTAGAAGACATGGGCTTCAGAAAGGAGAATCCCACAGGAAAACCCAAGAGGGGCAGGATGTCTATTTGGCAGGGCAGTTGGGGAAGGGAGGTCTAGGAGATCCCTGGTGGGGCAGTGGGGGGAGGGGGGTCTAGAAGACCCCTGGTGGGGCAGTGGGGGAGGGGGGCCTAGGAGACCCCTGGGTAGAGCAGTGGGGGGAGGGGGGTCTAGGAGACCCCTGGGTAGAGCAGTGGGGGAAGGGGGGTCTAGGAGACCTCTGGGTAGAGCAGTGGGGGGAGGGGGGTTTAGGAGACCCCTGGGTAGAGCAGTGGGGGGAGGGGGGGTTAGGAGACCCCTGGGTAGAGCAGTGGGGGGAGGGGGGTATAGGAGACCCCTGTCTTACATCTCTGTGACCACAAACCACAGATTCCACCCTAGGTGGGAACTACCCATCCCCGCCCACAGAAGCCCCACCCACACCAGTTCCACCCCGAGCCAGGGCCTTCGCCACCTCCTTTCCATGAAGTTACCCAGCCTCTCACCATTGAGCACAGATATGCCACCCACGTGGCAGCTGCTGGCATCCCCTGTTGTAAGCTCCAAAGCCACCTGAATATCTGTCGAGCCTTCAAACTTGTACACCATTGACAGGAAAAGCTTGGGTGGCAGTGGAACCTGCAGAGAAAACAACCTGGAGGAGAGAAACCTTATGAGAGGTGGGAGGGAGACGCAGACCCTCCACCAGCCCCTCCCTGCCGTGACTAGGACCTGGCCTTTCCTATATAGCCAGACTCTGCTGCAGACTGAAAGGCCCTGGTTCTAATTTCCTCCCAGACACCATCTAAGGCAGCCACGTGCTGGGAAGTGCCACTCAGTGGGCTGTTTCAAACTCCTGCATAGCACTGCACCCAACCGACACAGCCATGCCACACTGAAGCAGGCTGCAGAGGCGTCATGCAATGTGTTTGCGCACAGCGTAAAAGATCTGAGGTCTAACGGCTCCTTACTTGGCTCCGGCAGACCCTCTGCCTAATTCAGCCGCAGACACAGAGGACAGAAGGCGGAGACCCACACACCTCAGCCATCACTCACCCACCTCACGGCTACGTTGTCAACCTCAGGCGGGATCAGGCCCCGGAGCAGCAGAGAGCTGCCCCCATGCCAGGCGTCTGCCAGGCAGCAGTGTGTCTTCACCCAGCCCCCACTGTCTCCAGCCAGTTTATGTTCGCCAAAGAGGGGCTGGGTCTCCTGGGCACTAGGGTGGTACCAGGGCCCCACTGCCTGCTCCTGAAGAAAGAGGAGAGGTGAGAAAAGGGCCGGGTGGTGGTGGCGCACGCCTTTAATCCCAGCACTTGGGAGGCAGAGGCGGGCAGATCCCTGTAAATTCAAGGCCAGCCTGGTCTACCGAGCGAGTGAGAAATGGGGCAGGCGCAGGGGCCTCCTCTGCAGAGGCAAACAGCACATGGAGGTAGGTAGGGACAAGCTCACATCCGTTGGCTCTCTCCTGCCCATCCCAGCCAGAGCCAGACACAGAGAAGCCCACTTTCCCACCCTGCCCTCAGCACCGGACTGCACCGCACCTTGCCATAGCAGACTCTTCGAGGCCCCAGCCCCAGACAGAAAGAGGTGACAAAGGGCAGGGAGCAGATACTGTGTGTGGGCAGGAAGCGCTCCAGCAGTCTCCAGAACCTGACAGGGACACGGGGAATCAGGGTGAGGGGGCGCTCCACCTCCCTGCAGCCCTCTGTGGAGCCAGGGAGTTGGGCAGGCCAGATGACGCTGGCAGGAAATGGTTCTCACGCTCCTTTC